ACAATAATCCACCCTGCTGGTGATAAAAGCATGCACAAGTTTCTCTAAGTCTTGACTTGAAACAAAGCATCTAATTCTTGCAATATTTTTCAGGTGATAGTATGCTGATCTAGTTATTGCTTTGACATGACTACTGAAACTAAGGTCTGACTCTAGAGACACACCAAGATTCCTGACTTGATTTTTAGTTGTTTGACCCCTAGCGTCAAGGTATGCATTCACCTTGAGAACTTCCTCTTTGTTTCCAAACGCAATGACTTCAGTTTTGTCTTTGTTTAACTGAAGAAAGTTTTGGCACATCCAACTGTTGACTTCATCAATGCATTGGCACAGGGAGTCAATGGGGCTGTAGTCGTTAGGCGATAGGGCTAAGTAGAGCTGTGTGTCGTCTGCATAGCTGTGGTAAGAGATTCGGTTCTTTCTCATTATTTGGCTCATTGGGAGCATATACAGGTTGAATAGGAGTGGTGCAAGAATTGAGCCTTGAGGGACTCCGCATGTCATGGATGTCCACTCAGACTTATGGTCTCCTATACTCACATAATAACCTCTCCCTTCTAAGTATGATCTGAACCATTTTAGGACTATCCCAGAAAGCCCCACCCAGTTTACCAGCCTGTCAAGAAGTATGTCGTGATCGACAGTGTCAAATGCAGCACTGAGGTCGAGTAGTACCAGCACTGATAATTTGCCTGTATCAGTATTTAAGCGAATATCGTTTATTATCTTTATGAGCGCTGTCTCTGTGCTGTGATGCGATCGGAATCCAGATTGAAAATTGTCAAAGTATCCATTCAAGCTTAAGAATTTGTTCAGCTGATTGAAGACAACTTTTTCAATGATCTTGCCTATGAAAGGAAGATTTGAGATCGGTCTATAGTTGCTTAGTATAGTCTTATCCAGATTGCTCTTTTTCAGGAGGGGCTTGACAACTGCAGTTTTCAGGGAGTTTGGAAAACTACCAGAAAGAAGTGAGGCATTAACCACTTTTAGGAGATCTGCTTCTAAACTGTTTAACACACTTTTGAAGAAAGATGTGGGAAGTGCGTCAAGGGCGCAGGTTGATGTTTTAAGGTGCTGTATGGTTTCTTCCAAAATTTTGCCATCAATTTCTTTGAAATCAGACATAGTAACTACATTCTCAGGTTGTGGTCTGATCTGTCTGACCCCAGTGCGGCTCAATGATGCGCTGATCACCTTTATGATATTATTAATTTTCTCAGAGAAGAAAGAAGCAAACTCACTGCACTTGCCGTCTGAGAGCATTTCACTGGGAATCTGGCTTGGGGGGTTTGTCAGTCTCTCTACAGTAGCAAAAAGAGTGCGTGTGTTGTTTAAGTTGCGGTTTATAATATTTGAGAAGAAAGTCTGTCTAGCTTTGCCTAGTTCCATATTGAAAGCATGGATGCTGTCTTTGTAGATGTTATAATGGACTACAAGTTTTGTCTTCCGCCACATGCGCTCAGTTTTTCTGCATGTTCTTTTCATATTTTGCACAGCTGTTGTGTTTCTCCAAGGTGCTTTTTGTCTACCACTCTTCCTGACTTTCACAGGAGCAATATAATCTATTACACCTTTAACCTTTGAGTTAAAAGAATCAAGGAGAAAATCAACAGAGTTAGCAGATATGCTTGGTTTTAAAGATATAGCCTTCATAAATAGCACACTAGTGTTCTCATTTAAGCATCTCTTCTTGACAGACACAGATCTAGCTTCAATGGCAGGAGAGATCAATATATCAAAGAAAATACAGAAATGATCAGACAGTGCTGCATCCTTAATAACAATCGATGAGATGTTTAAACCCTTACTGATAAGTAAATCTAGAGTGTGTCCACGATTGTGTGTGGGTCCATGTACATGCTGAGTTAGATCAAAAGTTTTTAAAACAGTTTTGATTTCTTTTGCCATATTGTTTTCTGCATTATCTGTGTGAATGTTAAAATCTCCAGTAATAGCAAAACAGTCAAACTCTGAGGAAATTGTTGATAACAGTTCTGTAAAGTCCTCAGCAAAGGCTGGAGAGTATTTTGGAGGCCTGTAAATAATGATAAGTAAAATACGTGGGGCACCTTTTAACACAATACCCAGATATTCAAAAGAGGGGTAGTTACCAAATGATGTTTGCTTACATTGATGGACATCTTTAAAAAGAGCAGCTACTCCCCCTCCTCTCCTAACAGCTCTGCAGACACTCATAAAAGTAAAGTTAGGAGGGGATGTTTCATTGAGGACTGTTCCACTGCAGCTGTCTTCTAGCCAAGTTTCATTTAGAAGCATAAAATCCAGGTTGTATGTGGTTATTAAGTCATTGACTAGAAGTGATTTATTTTTAAGTGAGCGGATGTTTAAAAGTGCTAACTTAACAGTCTTACTTTTTGTTACTTTTGTCTTAGTTTGGCGTGTAATAGGGACCAGATTAGATGGGTTTGCTGTATGGCTTTTGAAGGCCTTAGACTTTCTATCATGTAATCGAACAGCAATAGAGAAAGATACAGGCACACTGGGTTCCCGCTTGTTTTGTAAACATTTGAGAAAGTTACTGTTCTCATAGCGGGGACCTGACACATATCACTGAGAGCTGGTATCAGTTGTTTTTGGTTCACCTCGAGCCGATGGAGGAGGGTGTGTGCCCTGGCGTTTTTGCAGAGGCCGAAGAGCTCTCACAAGCGGAGAGCGAGCTGGGCCCGCAGGCTTTCGTGGTTTTGGGGCCTGACTTTTTTTGGTTGATGTCTGGGGGCTTGCAGATTGTTTGGTTCCAGCGAACACGTTTTTCCATTTTCTCTGAGAAACACAGAAGATGCTGTGGAGAAGCTGGAGATAGGGATAACGTGTCTGGTGAGAGGGTAGAGGCTGGAGGGGGCTGTTTCTCTGGTGTTATTGGAGGCTGTAAAATGCTGTCCTGGTTTTCCAGCAAGTCGTCCTTGGGTGCTGAATGTTGGAGCAGTTCTAGTATGTCACAGTCTGTCTGTGGTGAGCTCTGTGGGCAGGGCTCTGCTGAGATTGTGTCCGTGAGCAGAGGCTGTTTTGGCTGAGTGGTGTTATCATTGTCCTTGTGTGACGTGTCAACCGCATGTCCATTCAGGTGCTGAAGTGAAGTCCTGTGGTCATTCATACTGTGTCCAGGTGTGTGTGTGCCATTCAGGTTGAGTGTATTGGCACACACTGCAGAAGGATGATTGAGGGAGAAGTAGATATTGTCCTTTAGCACTCTTGAACCAAGTTTGTTTGGGTGGTGGCCATCCTGTTGAAACAGTTGCCTCTGACTCCAGAAAAGATTGAAGTTGTCAATGAAGTTTACTCCTTTTATATTGCAGGTTTTTTGGAGCCATGTATTAAGCCCAAGCAACCGTGAAAATCTGTTTGTTCCTCTTGCTGGGAGTGGTCCACTGATGAATGTTTGTACTTTCAGTCTTTTAAGTGTTTCAAAAAGTTAATTGAAATCCTTCTTAAGGAGTTCTGACTGCTCTTTATGAATATCATATTTCCCCACATGAATGATGAGTCGATTTGCAGTCTTATGTTTCGTCAGAATGTTCTCAAGTTCCCTGTTTACATCAGAAGTCGTTGCTTGTGGAAGGCAGCACGTAGTTGTATCCCTGCTAATAATGTTTCTGATTATGGAGTCACCCACTATCAGAGTCCTGTGCTCTGCTGCGCTCTGAGCTGAGTGCCGCTGTCTGCTTGACCTTGAGCGCCAGTTAGCAGTGTTAGCTACTGGCTGATTCAGTCTTTGTTCGATCACATTCATCACGTTTGGGGATTCCTCATTTACATTCACTAATACTTCAAATCTTTTCTCAAGATGTATAGGCGGTGGTAGGAGACCATTGTTTGCAATCCTTGTCAGAGCCGTATCTGGGGTAGAGGAGGCTACTGCGGCAATATATGATGCTCGTGACAATCTGATGTCTCGAGTGCCTTTGGATCTCGTTCCCTGTTTGTGCCACCGATTTGTAGGTCGATCGGCTTGTTTCTCTACACTCAGTATGGCCTGTCGAGGAGGACTAGATTCATGGGACTCACCGGCTGTAGGCTGAGGGCGTCCATGACGAAGCTCTGTTGTGTGTTCCGTCTGGTTTGGTGGTCCCACAAGTAACTTTGTTTCAAGAGCTACAATCCTTTGTAAAAGTCTGTGGCAGTTAGTGCAGCAAGTAGATTCCAGAAGAGGCATTTTCTCTTATCCTTTAGAATGTAGGCAGTTGTGTTTTCTTCCCCGGAATGTAAGCAGTGGGAGGCTGGTTGAATAAAAGTATTCTGCTTTTTTTGTAGTAATCCTAGCGTTTGAGCACTGTGCTGATTAGCTGAAGTTAAAATTAGATGATAAAAGGAGATAAAATATAAAAATATAAAAGCGATAGAGCAAAGCGCGGAGCGGTAAGCAAGAGCGTCCGAACAGTAGCAGAGCAGGAAGTAGAATGCAGTATGTATGATGTTAAGTTCACTTCAAGAAAACTTACAAGTGTACTTGCAGTGTAAAACTACTAAACTAGTAGTTTACTGAGAGTATACTTCAAAGTGTACTTTCATAAACTAAAAAATCTGCTACAAGTATTTCAAAAGTAAACCATCAGTATACCTATAAGTTCACTTGTAGTTGCAGTGCAAATGATAAATGTAATTGTAAACTAGTTGTGTACTTAAAAGTATACTATACACTAAAAAGTGGGCCAATTTAATCCTTAGTACTGAAATAGTACACATACAAGTTTACATACTAGTACATTGATATCAGTATACTTACTACATAAAGTATACTTAAAATATATTTGAACTTTACTTAAGTATTCTTACAAAAAATAAGTAAACATTCATTTTATTAAGTGGAAACCATGATACATTGTCATTATTGTGTTATAAAATGACTCATGATGTGATTTTGGTCATATTGCTCACCTCTACTTCCACAGAAGAAAGAAAGTCATGACAGTTTCGGGTGAACGGTCTCTTTCAATGCCCGCATAACTTATAATGTTAAGACAGGTTGTCCATTGCCTTACCTGAGAGTTATCTTCTCCAATTCAAAGCAATAGTCTATGATGCCGGAAGTGGGGAATCGGACTTGAAGAACATCTTGATTTGTTGGGATGTAGCCTTCGGCTGTGATGCGATCCAAGTCACCAATAAAGCTTTAAGAAACACGTAATTCAGACACTTTTATTGAAAACCATACCATGTGCCATAGAATTGGTTATGAAGGCATTGTTTGCAAAATTATTTGCATATGATTCATTTCATGAATTGTCATTGGCATCAGGAAAAGACCAGAGGAAATAGACAAACATGAAGGAAGTTACTAAAAGACAGGAATTGTCTTGAAAACACTTACTACTTAGTGGAGTCTAGTAACTGATACTCTCTGCGCCGTCCGTAGCAGATCTTAAAGCCTTGATCTTCCCATAGGTGACGAATAGCCTCTACGTAATTTCTCTGCAGCTGTGTTATCTGATGTATGTCCTGATCCTGGAACCACTGGGAATAAACCTACAGATATCACAGACTCATGAGACTGCAAATACAATTACAGTGCAAGATCTTTATTAAAAAGTGTCCCTATTATGCTATTTTAAAGGTTCCTAAATTTCTCCTCCAAAAAAGGTTTACATGCATCCTAGGTTAAAAACTTTAATTTTCTCATAATATACATTGCAGCATCTCCTCTTTCTCACGGTGTCTGAAACGGTTCGATAAAGGATTCTGTCTTTTTAAACCCATCCTTTACTCTGATTGGTCAAATGGCCCAGTTTTATGTGATTGGTCTACTCTGCTCTGATTGGTCAGATGGCCTAGTCTGTTTCTTTGGTCTGTTGTGAAGTTAACTTATATTTTCGTTGTATTGTGCACTACTGGGCCACTGTACCAAAGGCTGGCATTATGCAATTACAACCTACATAGGTTTGTGCAAGAAGTAAGACTGGAATTACTGACGACTCGTTTCAGGCAGTTCAGAATCGGTTCTTTCTTGTTTTGGGAGACAATGGCCCTGTCCTAAATGGCACCTAAAAATTGTGAGTTTTTCTTAGTGTTATTATATATGTATAAATAATTTAATAATTAATATTTTTTATAATCTATACTACAATTTTTTTTGTAATTTATTAACATTTGCCAAACCCACTACTACCCAAAGGATAGTTGATATAAAATGGCCCTCATGAATCTCCGGGCTCAACAGAAACATACTCGGCCTCTTGATCACCTCGTTCTCTGGGTTGGAGTAGGGAATCTTTAGCGTGTTCATGGCTTCTGTTATTGCACTCATAGCTTGGAAGATATTCTGGAAAACCAGTTTAGAGTAGCTACGCCTCTCGTCAGTTGAGAAGCCCTTGCCATGAATAATCCTCATCTGCTTCGTAAACGTTGTCTTTCCACTTTCTCCTGTGCCTAAATGAAAGCAAAACATTTTTAATATATATATTTTTTTATAATTTCTTTTTAATTTTTCATTAATTTGTCTTTTCAGAAATATCAGCACTGAGTGTGTTTTGATATTTCTTCCTTAAGTTTTATGAATTCAGAAAATACACAGATGAGCCATTACATCATGACAACCTACCTAATAACCTGTAGGACCTCCTTTAGGACCTAAAAGAGCAAAGTATTGATTCGACAAGGTGGCGATAGGTCTCCTTGGGTATCTGGTACCATAATGTCAACAGCAGGTCCTCCCAGTTCCCATTCATTGCAGGGCGGTGGTGATGTAGCGCGAACCTGCTTTTCCAAGTCGAACTACAAATGTTCGATTGGGTAAATGTCAGGTGAACTTGGAGGCCAAGGCATTAACAGTGGTTCCTCGAACCACTCCTTGACGATACTAGCAGCGTGGCATGGCTTTATCCTGTTGGTAATGGCCATCCCCAGCAGGGCATCAGTTGCCATAAATGGGTGCACTTGGTCCACAACAATGTTCAGATTCCTGACAGCTGTCAGGGATTGTGCTATTGGGAAGGAAACATCACCCACAGCATAACACCGCCCTGTCCGCCCAACAGTGCATCCAGGTGTCAAAGCTTCTGTTGGAAATCGGCATATCCGCACTCTACAAATTCTACAAACAATACCCCATAATGACAACGTGAAAGAAGTTTGTTTGAAATCTTTGCAAATTTATAAAAAAAAAAAAAATCACATGTACATAAGTATTTGTTGAGCCTTTCCTCAATACTTTGTTGAAGCACCTTTGGCACCAATTGCAGCCTCGAGTCTTTTTGAGTATGATTCTCCAAGCTTGGCACACCTATTTTGGGGCAGTTTCTCCCATTCTTCTTTGCAAAACCTCTCAAGCTCCATCAGGTTGGATGGGGAGCGTCATTTTCAGATCTCTCCAGAGAGGATCAATCGGGTTCAAGTCTGGGCTCTGGCTGGGCCACTCAAGGACATTCACAGAGTTGTCCCGTAGCCACTCCTTTGTTATCTTGGCTGTGTGCTTAGGGTCTTTGTCCTGTTGGAAGATGAACCGTCGCCCCAGTCTGAGGTCCAGAGCGCTCTGGAGCAGGTTTTCATCAAGGATGTCTCCGTACATTGCTGCATTCATCTTTCCCTCGATCCTGACTAGTCTCCCAGTTCCTGCCGCTGAAAAACATCCCCTCAGCATGATGCTGCGACCACCATGCTTCACTGTAGGGATGGTGTTGGCCAGGTGATGAGCGGTGCCTGGTTTCCTCCAGACATGATGCTTGCCATTCAGGCCAAAGAGTTCAATCTTTGTTTCTCATGGTCTGAGAGTCCTTCAGGTGCCTTTTGGCAAACTCCAGGTGGGCTGTAATGTATCTTTTACTGAGGAGTGGCTTCCGTCTGGCACTCTACCATACAGGTGGAGTGCTGCAGAGATGGTTGTTCTTCTGGAAGGTTCTCCTCTCTTCACAGAAAAACGCTGGAGCTCTGGTCAGAGTGACCATCGGGTTCTTGGTCACCTCCCTGACTAACCCCGGATTTCCACCAACTGCGGAACGACGGCGGAGTCAATAGGTTTCCATTAAAGTCAATGTGTGCATTTTCACTGACTGCGGAACGGCTGCGTTCCGACTCCGTCCCAGCTCCGGCGACCGCAGCCCTCCGGAGAAGATACGCAGAGTTTCTATTTTTGCCGGATGCCGGAGAGCGCCGCAGGAAGTCGAGCACAGAAACTAAATAAAACATCCGGTAATTTCCAAAATAAAAATATAGTTTTCCCTTTTCCAACAAGAACAATAATTAACTTTATTTACACAGCCTACTACTTTCCCAATACATTCAAAAAGGAACCCAAATAAACATTTAGCATTTTATAAGTTGATTATATTTAATTATAAATATTGTACTAGAATCACAATAATCTCCACAAAAAGGGGAGATCAGCAGGTCAGCACATAGTTGTTTCCCCTGTACACCTCTGGATGGAAACAAAATGTTGCTGGTTTTGTGGTTCTGTTTATTGAAACTACATCCTGTTATATCGTGCGATCAAACGTAAATTCGCGAGATATCGTGTGTCCTCGTGACTTCAGCTGTCATTCATGGCCACAGCCGTTCCGCAACAAATCCGTATCTGGTAGGTATTGAAGGACGGCGGAGCACGGATCCGACGCGCAGCGGAGCCGATCCGCAGCCGTTCTGCAGTTGGTGGAAAGGCCCTTCTCCCCCGATCGCTCAGTTGCTGACTTATGAATTTGCACATGGTTTGTCTTGAATCATATTATAAAAACACCACATAGACATAAACAACATTAAAAACTTGATGTTCACCACAGAGTAAAAAAACACCAAACTGTATTTGATTCCTGCTTGTCAAAATGCAAAAGCTTTTTCTTTTTCTTCTTTTATTTCACAAAAAAAGTCATGACACCTGAGTGAAGGGGAATTGACAACAAACATCCACTAAAATCACCTCAGGACCAGGAAATTGAAGTTATCTTTGAGTCACAGGTTTAATCAGCTCTTATATAATCACATTTCAGGAAAGTCCCTCAAGAGAAATGGCCCAAAATGGTATTTACTAAAAACAAATTTTCATGCTCTGACTAAATTTACTTTCACTTTCAGAGAAAGAAATGTCTTCAAATAATTTTTCACCAAGATAAATTCTATTTTGTGTGCTTATTTTATACTTTTTCCACATGATGACTTAAAATGAATCAACATGTTTAAGTTTTAATACAATTCAGATAAAAGACTGACAGAATCATCTCACCTAATAAAAGCAACTTGATTTCTCTCCGTTCTTTTTTCCTCTGCTCTGCAAGGATGTGTTTGATTTCCTTATTTATGGCGATGGCGTTCCTTTCATCTTCAGGCAAGAAATAGGTGCAACATCTACAGTAGTAGTACTTCCCCATTTCTCCAACAGAAATTGAGTAACTACAAAAACATAAATAAATAATTATAGCCATTCAGCATTAGCCATATTTATATTTTGACCATGTAGTTGGGGTGAATTCATGTTGTTAATTTGGGAGGGACACTTCGCAATTGCAAAAAGTGACGCAATCCCCCTGAATTCACCCTATGTTCGTAAATGCAAATTTGGCAGTTTGGGTTTCTTGGACTAGTCACTAGTGTGCGGGGAGCTGGAAATGGAAAACCCAGAGTGGAGTTTGAGCGGAGTAATTACAAAACGTTTTGATGCGGTAGAGATGTAAAACCACTCTTATACAAACCGGTTTTTAGTTTGTGCGTTGCCAGGTGACACGTAAAGCCTGTATAACTCGATATCAGGGCTGTATAACCACCATAGTGTGTTGTTCGGGTTATTCTTTAGAAAAGGTTGAAAAAGTTACATTTTAGGGTGGTCTAATGTCTAGCGCTCGTCAATACTAAAATGACTAGATGACCAGTCAAATCCAAGAAGGCGGGCTTTACTAGCAGCTAAATGTAAACAGAAGCAGCGCGCGAATTCAGGGCTCTTTAGTTTTAACGGCCAGTGCGAGCCGAGGTAAGAAGTAGCTAAACGTTTAATATTTGCCAATTGTTTAACAATATAAATGTTAAATGGATGACGGTAATATCTAGTGAAGCAAACTACACGATTTGTTTTTAAATTTAGCCGTTTTGAATTGAAAATATAATTTGAGCCGAGCATTTTGCAATTTGAAATGTAACGTGACAAAATACATAAACGGACATTAAATGATTTAACTAGAACTTTAATCCTTAAACCCAAACTAGAACAAGAAAATATAATTTTGTCCCCACTTCAAAAACGACATTGAGGTAAACATTGTATGCTTTGTTGTTTGATATTGCTTAGTTAAAATTATGGAATACATTTGAATTGTTATAGCCTAAATTAAAGCGATATTAGGCTGCACTCAAAACATAGGCTAAGCACTCTTGCTTAAAATAAGCCAAACTTTTTAACGTAATGTGTAGATCCTAACATCACCACTAGTGTAAAAACAGCTCTACAAGTCTGTAATAAAATGTAAATGTAACTAGTCTCTGACTTAAATGAAAATGTGAAAGTTTTTCTGTGGACAACAAATAAACAGTCATATATCGTAGGCCTATTTAACAACAGCAAAAACTAGGGAAATAGGGGTAACAAAGAGAATCACTCACCTTCATTCATACAACAGTAGTATCTTCCTTGAAACAAACAGTGTCCGTGGCACCTTGAAGGAGTTTTCCTGAACGCAGTTTTCTGTCAATCACGTCACGTTCGTTCACTTCAGATTATTAACCAGTTGCACTTCCCGAAAGTCTGACATGATATGTCAGGTATGTTGCAGAGCAGAAGAGAACCAATGAGAAGTCAGTGGAATGCGCCATGGCAAATTCCTCCCTGCTTTTATTTAAAGTGACTGACACATCTTTTTAACTAAAAGTAGCTCTTTCCATGGTGTTTATTATCTGTTATGTTGATTTATTAGTTACTTGCTAGGGAAGAACGGGGCTAGTTGTCACAAAGGGAGTCTTAAAAGCTATATGGGAGTGGTTGTCACTTTTTTTTGTGCCACAATTTATTAACTACAGTTTTTTTAACTAAACAATGGTTATGTCACATTCACCTCCTTCATTTGTGTCTTCACTACACTTCCCAGCATTCCCAGTCATCATCACCTGCAACTTATCATCCTCATCATGATCACCGTCACCTGTGTCCCATCACCAGCATGGACTATAAAACACTCACTCTCCTTGCAGTCACTGTCTGGTATCGTCTATACATGACTCACAGACTCTCCGTGAACTTAACTGATGATACTTACCTGCTTCTCCATCCATCCATCCATCCATCCATCCATCCATCCATCCATCCATCCATCCATCCATCCATCCATCCATCCATCCATCCATCCATCCATCCATCCATCCATCCATCCATCCATCCATCCATCCATCCATCCATCCATCCATCCATCCATCCATCCATCCATCCATCCATCCATCCATCCATCCATCCATCCATCCATCCATCCATCCATCCATCCATCCATCCATCCATCCATCCATCCATCCATCCATCCATCCATCCATCCATCCATCCATCCATCCATCCATCCATCCATCGTGATGGGCAGATCGAGGCTTCGTGAAGCAATGAAACAGTTGAACCAAATGGTCCATTTTGTTTCGAGGCTTCGAATCAATCCAACACCTGTCTCCACGGTGACACCTAGTGGTCACTTGCAGGTGTTGATCTGAAACAACCTCGACGAGCCATGATTTTTTTTTTTTTTTTTAATTATTATTGTACTTTTCTTATATGTGAATCTTGCAACCTATAGGCTCCTCACTGTGCATAATGTTATTTTGGTCCTGCAAAATGAATATTAATAAAATAAATCAAGCCACAATGTCTCACTTTTTTACACATTTTTATTCAAAAATATTAATTTCTCTGCTGTGGAAGGACTTAGCCTACTTCTCTTTTTTACAGATAATTTCTCCAGCCTTTGAAAAAAATCCTCTTACAAGGGACACTTGTTGCTGGCATGCAAAGATATTTTTTAGCTAATACATACAAATGAGGAAAGATTACTGCTCTCTCTTTCCAGTAAGTTAATGGATCATGAGTTCTGGGCAAATACGCATCGTTGATGTATTTTTTCACTTCCACTGTGGCATCAGCTGTAGCATTGTGTATCATCTGGGTTTGATGGATACGAGTATCAAAAAGTTCCCATAAACTGTCCTGTGTTTTTACTAGATGATGTATTGCAGTAGGCGAGCTGCCGATCACAATACACACATCTCACTTTATTTGGGGTTTCTAAATGGAAATGCTCCCACACCACACATGTACGGCATCTCTTCTGGGGAGCCTCCATTTTATCTATCCATCCAAATCTATCTAGATATGTATCTCTAATCTATCTATGTAATTAGATATATGTATCTACAATCTATCTATGTATTTAGATATGTATATAATATGTATCTAATCTATGTATTTAGATATGTATCTATAAATGTATCTATAATCTATGTATTTATATATGTAGCCTATCTTTAATCTATCTATATATGTATCTATTAATGTGTCACAATATGTATACTCTGTGTCTCTAGCCTATCAGTCAATGTGTTGTGTAAATTTAAATGTAAGCCTAAATATAACTAAACAAATCGCACTATATCACCAAAAATCCGCTATCTCAAAATCAAACTCCTCTCACAAAAACCCACGAGGTCAATATGCGTTGATTTCACTTTTATACAGATGTGCGATTGTGTGGTCTGTTTCCGACCGTGTCAATCAAACGCTGTTTCGGCGGATCACACCTGATGAAACACTTAGTGAAACATTTCGAGGCTTCGTTTGGCCATAGTCACGTGACATGGGTGTTTTGAATCACGCTTCGAATCAGTGTTTCGAAACATCTGCCGGGATCTCGCAAAGCTTCGGAACGACTGTTTCGCGGCAGCCATCCCTATCTTCGGTGTGACTGCTACCTATCCTTCTGCAAGAGAGCAAAGAGGACATTATCCATCCAGCTAAGACTGTTTCATGTTTCAACATCATTCTGATCCTTACCTGTTATCTCCGACTGAATTACCATCTGCACAAATAAACTTTACAAACTTACCATTCCGTCTGTTCGTTCTGTGAGCCCTGATAGAATACCAGACCCTAAAAAAGTGACAGAACGACCGACTGCAAAATGGACGAAGCGGGTCAGATCTTGTGTTCCAGTTTCCAGAATGGGCGTAAGATCGAATCATTCTTAGAGGAATTCATAGAGTACAGCCATCTCACCACGCTTACTGATCAGCAGTTGGTGGATTTATTTTGGAGTGGATTAGACCCACACTTCCATTCATGGATGCCACCAGGAAATCCCGGTATGACCATTGAACGGTATCTGGACTACGTGCTTTTGTTGACCACCGTCAACAGTCTCCGTCACCACCCGTCCTAAATCTCTTTCCGCAAAGACCGTCCAGCCAGAGACCGTCCATTCTGAGCCCTCTTCGCCGCTGGTTCCGTCCAGCGCCAAGCCCTCTTCACCGCTGGTTCCGTCCAGTCCAGCCAAGCCCTCACCACTGGTTCCGTCAAGTCCAGCCAAGCCCTCACCGCTGGTTCCGTCCAGTCCAGCCAAGCCCTCACCACTGGTTCCGTCCAATCCAGCCAAGCCCTCACCGCTGGTTCCGTCCAGCCCAGCCAAGCCTGCACCACTGGTTCCGTCCAGTCCAGCCAAGCCCTCACCGCTGGTTCCGTCCAGTCCAGCCAAGCCCTCACCGCTGGTTCCGTCCAGTCCAGCCAAGCCCTCACCGCTGGTTCCGTCCAGTCCAGCCAAGCCCTCACCGCTCGTTCCGTCCAGCCCAGCCAAGCCTGCACCACTGGTTCCGTCCAGCCCAGCCAAGCCCTCACCGCTGGTTCCGTCCAGTCCAGCCAAGCCCTCACCACTGGTTCCGTCCAGTCCAGCCAAGCCCTCACCACTGGTTCTGTCCAGTCCAGCCAAGCCCTCACCGCTGGTTCCGTCCAGCCCAGCCAAGCCCTCACCACTGGTTCCGTCCAGTCCAGCCAAGCCCTCACCGCTGGTTCCGTCCAGCCCAGCCAAGCCTGCACCACTGGTTCCGTCCAGCCCAGCCAAGCCTGCACCACTGGTTCCGTCCAGCCCAGCCAAGCCTGCACCACTGGTTCCGTCCAGCCCTGCCAAGCCTGCACCACTGGTTCCGTCCAGTCCAGCCAAGCCTGCACCGCTGGTTCCGTGCAGCCAATCCGAGCCAGAGCCCGCTGAAACCGAGCCAGAGCCCGCTGATCCTGCGCCAGAGCTAGAGGTCTTCTCGGGTCCTAAAAACTGTACCCGACGTGCATTTTTTTTTTTTTTTAAGAAAAACCCGACCCGAGCCAGACCCGATAAAATTAGACCCGAATCTGACCCGACCTGACGCCATTTCCTTTAGAACCCGACTGGACCCGAACGTAAACGGCATGTACATTGTGCACAGCCTGCAGCCCTGCGTTTCTCAAAAATGCACTTAACATAGACGCGCAAGTGTAAGCGTGCTGAAGTGCTAAAATGTCAATCACACATCACTGTAACCCATTACGTCCTATAAAATTTGGCATAATGTTATTTACTGGACCATATGATGATTAGAACCACCATTCGTTTTCCCTGACATTTTTCACTATTTCTGTTATCGCCTCCATGCTTTTCTGACAGTGTCGCGTATTTTTAAAATTGATTGACAGGCCTGGCTTAACGACAATTCAAATACTTGCATTTAGTCAAACATCCATTCACACGATGGCGCACTAGTTCTTCTTGGCAAAGGGAGGGGTTGGTTTATGTGGAGCGAGCAACTGAGTAAATAAATGCGGAGGCAATCATGCTTATGCTTATAGCCCATTTGCATGTAGAAGCGCGGATTCGCTCTCTCACTTGGAAAAAGTGAGAGAACGGTGTCATAGAGTTGTTTTAAATACTTCAATTTTCTTAAATGCCCAACATAGTTTAAAAGAATTCGGATCTTCTCGGGTCCATTTGGAAAAAGCATATTTATTTTAAATTACCCGAGACCCGAGGCCACTAATACCGAACCCGACCCGTGTCCGAGACACTCGTCGGAGTTTTGGATCCAAGTGGACCTGTGAAGACCTCTAGCCAGAGCCCGCTGATCCTGCGCCAGAGCCCGCTGATCCTGCGCCAGAGCCCGCTGATCCTGCGCCAGAGCCCGCTGATCCTGCGCCAGAGCCCGCTGATCCTGCGCCAGAGCCCGCTGATCCTGCGCCAGAGCCCGCTTCACAGCTGGTCCTGCCCAGCTCAAAGCCCTCTTCACAGCTGGTCCTGCCCAGCTCAAAGCCCTCTTCACAGCTGGTCCTGCCCAGCTCAAAGCCCTTTTCGCCGCTGGTTCCGTCCAGCTCAGAGCTTCCTTCGCCGCTGGTCCCGTCCAGTCCAGAGCTTCCTTCACCGCTGGTCCCGTCCAGCCCAGAGCTTCCTTCACCGCTGGTCCCGTCCAGCACAGAGACTGTTCACGTCACACCTGCCGAGCAAGAGGCTGTTCACGTTACTCCTGTCCAGCCAGAGACGGTTCACGCCACGTATGCGCCGCCTGAGCCCACAGCGGTTATGGCCACCGCCATGCCTGAGTCCTCATGGACTGTGACGCTGGCCATTGTGGCCGCTGCCATGTGGTGTGAGTGGGCTGCGCACACACTCGTTCCTAAGCCGGTGTCTGTTCCCGTTCCTGAGCCGGTGTCTGTTCCTGAACCGGTGTCTGTTCCTGAACCGGT